AGGGAGGCAAGGACCCGAGGGACAAGAGGACGAGCAGCGCTAAGGTAGTCAGACAGAGGGGGAGACGCGACAGCGAGCGACGACGGAGGAGGCGAAGGCAAGAGGGGAGGACGAGACACGTGGGAAGGAAGCAACATGGAGGGCGAGCGCTGAACAGGAGAGACAGGAGGAGCACAAGAGGGACGACGGGACCAGACATGAGACGGAGCCGTCGGGTCAGGCGACAGAGGAGGAGTAACAAGAGGGGAACGAGGTGGGAAACGGGCTAGGGACAAGTCCGGCGGAGGAAACACAGGACCGTGGACAGGAAGGGGAGGAGGCGGCGAGGGAAGCACGGGCGAGCGGTCGGGGGAGGGAAGGCCGAGCAGGCGAAGGGTGGACACCGGCTGCGACTGCGGCTGCTGCTCAACGCTGACACCTAGACCACCCGCTGCACCCCGATCACCTCCGGAACACTCCACTCCAGCCACCCCCAAGCCCGCCGGGACAAGCCACGACAGGAACCCCAGGACTAGCACCCTCCTCAACGCCAGCACCCCCAAAGTCCACGAGGGGCCGGTAGGGGCGCGAGGGGCCGACGACAGCACAAAGGGCCCACTAGGGCGCGAGGGGCCCGCTAGGGCGCGAGGGGCCCGCTAGGGCGCGAAGGGGCCCGCTAGGGTGCGAGGGGCCTGCTAGGGCGCGAGGGGCCCGCTAGGGCGCGAGGGGCCTGCTAGGGCATGAGGGGGCCGTTAGGGCGCGAGGGGCCCGCTAGGGCGCGAGGGGCCCGCTAGGGGGCGAGGGGGCCCGCTAGGGCACGAGGGGCCCGCTAGGGCGCGAGGAGCCCGCTAGGGTGCGAAGAGGCCCGCTAGGGCATGAGGGCCCCGCTTGGGCGCGAAGGTGCCCGCCAGGGCGCGGAGCTAGCTAGGGGCGGTAGGCTTGGGCACGGGGCGGAAGCGGGTGGGTGGAACTACCTACTCATGATACCATGTTAACTAGAACGAATGGGTAGAAAAAAGGGTGAACAAGAGAGTTAAAGTGTTGGAGCTGTACCCTCTAACAACATACACCTATCTAGCCTATAACTGCTACATATCAAAAAATGTATAATTTGACAATATAAACATTGTATCTCTTCGCTATAATCAATCACTTGTTTTCACATACCACTACGAGGGTTCACTAAGACTTCCGCTGTGCTATCAAGCACTCTATTACAAGGACTTAGCCTTCTGGAAATATCCTAAGGCTATTCTCAGCCCAACATGGTATGAGAGCTAGTCTGAAGCTACAGTACGTTCCTATTACGTTCAACAGCAATAGTATTAGCCACGAGCGCCTCATCCGTCCCCGATCCCGGTCGCTTCGACCTAGCAACGTCCGCCAGCACCGACGAACAGATCTGTGCAAGACGCAAGAAACTTTGTTAGCTGACATGGCGCAAACAGACTTCTGCACACCAGACTGTCTGCCTCACCGCGACCTCGACGAGCACCCACCTGCTTCGACACAAACCTGACTTCAGCCGAACCCGACTTACTGTATGCTGCAATAGCCCGCGACGAGCCGTCTGGCCGAGATACTTGGTTTCTTGACAGCTGCTGTGGCCAGCACATGTGTTCTTCAGCGCGCTTTGTCCAGCGAGAATAGATATTGGGTATAGGAGTCGTAATCACCGTCGCCAACAACCAGAATCTGCGCACACGCAAAGAAGGCGTCATTCAGTTACAATCTCTTGAGACAAGCGTGGTGTCATAGAAGTTCCGCGTCCTCGTCGTCGACAGCCTCGGCTACAATTTGTTGAGCGTCAGCCAACTTATGTCCAAGGGCATTCACCTGGAATGTGATAGCTTCGATCGCGAGTTTCGCCTCTACCTCAGAAAGGGCGACATCTTCATTGGCTGAGCAAACGAGAAGCACGGCTTCTTCGTCTTAGACTTCGTCCCAGACCGCGGGACCGCAGACAGCGATGGCGTCATCTCCTTCACGTCCTGGATGCATCCGCTGGATCTCGACCCCGGCTTCAACCGCGATGGTTTCTAGTACTCCAACACCATCCTTGAAGCAGAAAGCACAAGAGCATTAGCTGTGATGCGCGAAGCACAAGAAACGCGAGACACGGAACTACCACGAGCAATCGAGCAACAGGTGCCGACACGAGTACTCCCTGCACGTCCCATCGCTGGGAGTTTGTCCGCGCCACCTATTGAAGAAGCGCCATATGATACGCCGTCAGTTGATGAACCGCCACCAACCAAAGCCGCGCAGCTAAAGGCACATTCTCGCGAGCCGCATCGAAGCGTCGCGACCGTTTCCGCCTTCTGCACCAACTCAGATTTGTATCGGCGATCTGTGGGACACAAAGCGAGCGAAGAAAAGTGGCATCAGCGTTTGGGCCATCCAGGAAACTCTGGGTTTTTCGATACTATTTGAGCAAACGTACTCGACAAGGATGCACTTCTACTTCTCGATGGCCGCGAACTATGACGACCTCGACGTACCTGTTTCATCTGTCCCGAAGCAGATCTTCCTTGAAAACCGTTCCCGTCGCACCACAACCCCAGCGCACCTGAGTATACTCCACTCGAGAAGTTATACAGTGACATACTGTATATCCCGTGCGAAGTCGGACGATCTGACCTCAACTTCGTCATCACCTTCATCGACATCGCCACACGCTACACCTGGCACCTTAATCTGCCGTCCCGCGACCTCGCCTTCTCCGCCTTCATCGCCTAGTTTGCTGTAGCAAAGCAGGAGGGAGGCGTCAAGCTAAAAAGTTTTCAAACTGATGGGGCGATAGAATAACAGTCACAATGCTTCAAGGACTATCTTGCCGAAAAGGGAATCAAGAAGCTCGTAACCGTCCCCTACCCTCACCCACAGAACGGTGTAGCAGAGAGGATGAACAAGACCCTCCAGAACACCATGCGGAAGCTGCTGAGGGGCATGCGACTGCCCGACTCGCAATGGCTAGGCGATGAATCACGTCGTAATGCTGCAGAATCTTCTGTCGTCTAGCTCCCTGCCAAACAACGCGTCACCACATCTGCTGTGGGCAGGGAAGCAGGGCAGCACAAAACTTTTGCGAGTTTTTGGCTGCATGGTACAGTACCGACCCCATACTGCACGCTCTGGATGTTTTTCGCAGCGAGCAAGATGGGGACTACACCTAGGAGTGGAAAACATTACAAGGCATGGAAGATCTGGGACGTGGAAGACAAGGAGACAGTACCAACATGTGATGTGATCTTCTACAAGAACCTCACACTCAGTCACTACCTCAACAACATCGCCATCAATCAGGACCCGTCTGGCGGCTTCGCTGGCGCACGCGCGCCTGCCTTGACAGACGAAGAAGCCGACCTGGACAAGTAGAGCATTCCGGACACATCCGCAACTGTAGGGCCCCTACCTTACTGCTCCGTCGACATGTAAATGGACGACGAAAACTCTCACGAAAGTGCGAACGCTGGAGCGTATTACCACTTCGCCGACAACGGTAATGTTACACCACACATAGTCGACATCAACGTTTCAGAACGCATAGGACCTGGTTTCATACCCGACCCTGAAGCGGGAGACGAAGCTGACTATCGCGGGGATCCTACCATCCCCTACTACACCGAAAATGGCCTACAGATACTTGGACTTATAGCAGCCGTGCATCCACAGTCCTCGCCGTCGCAAGTCGAGGAGCCGAAGACTGTCAAGAAAGCTCTGGAGGGACCGCACAGGGAAATATGGAGGGAGGCAATGGATCGGGAGTTAGTGGCAAGGCCTCATATTGGTTTTAAGGTACCCTGATTGCTCAGGGTTCCCCCCCCATGTTTACCATGATTTTTCAGGCCTCCCAAAAAAAAATCCGCTAAGTGATCAGGGTTACTTCAGAATTTCACGCTGATTTGGCGAAAATTGGGAGATGGGCAAAACGACATTCGGGGAGGGCAGGGATGGGACAAAGTGGGGGGGGAATGGAGGGAGGGAGGATTCCCGCGGGAATCATGATGATGTTGAAGCCATCAATTTTTGTGGCGACACTTTCACAAAGCTGCGGCCAATCAAATTTCGCCGATCGATCCAATCGCATAGCTGAGCAAGATTGCAGGGGCGGGAGGAGGAAATCTCGACCTCACAAAGCCAAGCCAACACACGCCCAATGTGTGCCTCACATGGCGCAACACACGCTAGCTTTAAATTTGGCGAAGGGCCAAAAAGTTCCCTCACAAATCCCCGAACATACGCCAGCCCTAAATTTGGCGAAGGGCTAAAAATTCCCCTCACAAATCCCCCAGCACACTCTAGCCCTAAATTTGGTGAAGGGTCAAGTGCCCTCACACAAACCCCCAGCACACATCGAGCAGGGGAAACTTTCGGATATTATGGCAGGGCCCAGAATCACGCTGCTATAGGATTCAGGGGTAGCTGCCCGTTAGGCAAAGGCTACAGGGCCTACTACAATTGCAATGCTGTACAAACAGAGTTTACTCATTAAAAAACCCTGAAATTTCAGGGTTGTGCGCATCAGGGTCAGTACCGAAAAAACCTCTGAAAAAACCCTGAATCAGGGAAATTTGCCTGAAATCTGAGGCCCTGGTTAGTGGCTTTGCATGAGAGAAGCACCTGGAAGTTAATTCCAATTTCTCAAACGACGGGAAAGACCATCCTCTCGGGGAAATGGGTCTTCCATGTGAAGACAAAGGCGGATGGGACCGTCGAACACTTCAGAGCCCGCTGGATGGTCCGTGGTTTCGACCAGCAGCACGGCCAAGACTACACCAAGACCTTCGTTTCCGTCAGTCGCCAGACATGTCTCCAAATCCTCCTCGCCGTCGCCACCGCTCGCAAGCTCCCTCTGCGACAAATCGATGTCGCCACAACATTCCTCACTAAATCCGCTGTGCTATCAAGCACTCTGTTACAAGGACTTAGCCTTCTGAAAGGATCATAGGGCTATTCTCAGCCCAACAAATAGCAGCACTCTTCAGGCTGACTATTGCAAGTGGATCAATCCGTATGCAGAACCAACATTATAATTAAAACAGTGGTGGAATGGGGTAAATAATATTGCCGCGATGCTGCACAGCACACAGCCGTTTAGGACAACGATCCTCTAGCCCCACCACTGTTATGTCTGTAGTACAGCCCCATGCAACAAGTCCTTCTCTACGCTGTGCCTGCTCTTCCCTGACCCCTCTTCCTCTCAAACTGCTTCCTCCTGCTCTCCCTCTCCCTCTCCCTCTCCGTCTCCCTCTCCCTCTTCCTCTTCCTCTTCCACCTCACTCTCCTCTCCGCTTCCCTCCTCCCCTCTCCCCTCCAGCGCCCACTTCACCCGCTCTAGGAAGAGCGCATCGGAGCAGCACAGCATGTGTCTTAGGCTGAAGGAGAGCCCCTGCTGCTGCAGCAGCCGGTGCCTGGGGGCAATGCGAGTGTCCAAGGCATAGCTGAAGAAACTGTAAGGGAAGGGAGGGCAAGGTGGGAGTGGGGGAAAGAGGCATTGGAAGAGAGCAGCAGAGCAGCACAGCATGTGGCGCAGGCTGAAGGAGAGGCCTTACTGCTGCAGCAGCTGATGCCGGGGGGCGATCCTAGTTTCTAGTGCATAGCTGAAGAAACTGAACGAGTGAGGGAAGGGAGGGTAAGGATTGAGTGGGGGAAGAGACATGGTGGGTCGAAAGCTCATTGATGGAGGCATGGGGGAGGGAGCATGTGCCTTAGTTTGAACGTGATGATACTGCTGCTGCAGCAGCCGACGTCGCACCATGCTCCCCACGTCCTCCTTCAATATCCCCATCGACAGCAGGAAGCGCCGCCGCAACCAACGCAGAGACACAAGCAAACTGCACTCCGAACCGCACTTTTACTGCAATCCGCTCGCCGTACCACTCTTTACCGCACTCCAATTTGGCACACGCAGAGCATTTGCTGCACCAAGATCACCGTGGGAAAGCGACGAGATGGTCGACAGTCAGGCGTATGGCTCTTCAGAAGAACCGCCACTTGGGCCTCAGAACAGCCAGGTTGCATTTCGACAGAGGGGGAAAACTCTATTGTACACTCCACCACCATGCTCCCCACATCCTCGTTCACTTCCCCCCTCGACAGCAGGAAGTGCATTGACGAGAAACGCCCTTACTGCGGCCAGCTGCTTCACAACGCGCTGCACCGCACTGCACCGTGACACTCACCGCGGGAAAGCGACTAGATGGTCGACAGACAGGGGCATTGTCCTTGAGAAATACCGCCATTTGGGCTTTAAGATTGCAGGGTTATATTTCAGTAAAGGAGGGAACTGTGCCACCATACTCACCACATCCTCCTTCACTATCCCCATCGACAGCAGGAAGCGCACTGGAAGAAGCAACCCCCACTGCAACCCAGCTGCTTGGTACTGCTCTGTACTGCTCTGTACCGCACTGCACAATGGCACTCACCGTGGGAAAGCGACTAGATGGTCCACAGACAGGCGCATTGTCCTTGAGAAGTACCGCCACTTGGGCTTTAAGATTGCAGGATTATATTTCAGGAGAGGGGGAAACTGAACCACCATGCTCCCCACATCCTCCTTCACAATTCCCATCGACAGCAGGAAGCGCAGTAGCAGGCGAAGCCTGCTGTCCAGTTGGCACGCCACCAGGTCCGGCTTAGCCACCACTACTTTCCAAACCTCATGGTCCGGGACTCCAGCTTCGGCGACGAGGAACCGAACCTATAAAGAGGGGATTCATAAGGGGTATAGAAACAAGGGGGGAGGGGATATAGAAACAAGAGGGGAGGGGATATAGAAACAAGAGGGGAGGGGATATAGAAACAAGAGGGGAGGGGATATAGAAACAAGAGGGGAGGGGATATAGAAACAAGAGGGGAGGGGATATAGAAACAAGAGGGGAGGGGATATAGAAACAAGAGGGGAGGGGATATAGAAACAAGAGGGGAGGGGATATAGAAACAAGAGGGGAGGGGATATAGAAACAAGAGGGGAGGGGATATAGAAACAAGAGGGGAGGGGATATAGAAACAAGAGGGGAGGGGATATAGAAACAAGAGGGGAGGGGATATAGAAACAAGAGGGGAGGGGATATAGAAAAAAGAGGGGAGGGGATATAGAAACAAGAGGGGAGGGGATATAGAAACAAGAGGGGAGGGGATATAGAAACAAGAGGGGAGGGGATATAGAAACAAGAGGGGAGGGGATATAGAAACAAGAGGGGAGGGGATATAGAAACAAGAGGGGAGGGGATATAGAAACAAGAGGGGAGGGGATATAGAAACAAGAGGGGAGGGGATATAGAAACAAGAGGGGAGGGGATATAGAAACAAGAGGGGAGGGGATATAGAAACAAGAGGGAGGGGATATAGAAACAAGAGGGGAGGGGATATAGAAACAAGAGGAGGATATAGAAACAAGGGGAGGGGATATAGAAACAAGAGGGGAGGGATATAGAAACAAGAGGGGAGGGGATATAGAAACAAGAGGGGAGGGGATATAGAAACAAGAGGGGAGGGGATATAGAAACAAGAGGGGAGGGGATATCGAAACAAGAGGGGAGGGGACATAGAAACAAGAGGGGAGGGGATATAGAAACAAGAGGGGAGGGGATATAGAAACAAGAGGGGAGGGGATATAGAAATAAGAGGGGAGGGGATATAGAAACAAGACGCAAACATTGGTTGTTAGCGGTTAAGCTACCCAACAGTGAGGGTTTGGTGGCTACTTGAATGATAGGCCAGAGCTTGCTCGAATGCCGGACTGAAGCGATTCAAACCTTTCTGTGCAGAGCTTGTGGTCCGGGACTCCAACCTGGACAAGCTATGAGTTTGCAGGCTTGTCCAGGTTGGAGTCCCCGATTGGACAAGCACTTGCACTGAGGTGCTTCAATCGGGGACAGACAAGCTAATTTGCGGGCCGAGGCCAACAAACCAACGCCCCACTGCACAGAGGCCAATGCACCAACGCTCCACCACATAGCCCCACATACCAGAGGCCTTATTTTTTTGTCAAGGCTGTAGGTGAGGATGGGTGGGTAGCGGTGCAGCACTCCAGCCACCTCCCCCTCGGGAACTCCAATGAGGCGGAGAAAACGCACCTGAGGGGAAAGTTGAATGGTGAGGCAACAGGGCAAGGGTGAGGCAAAGGGTGAGGAGGAGGACAGTCCAGATATTTAGAACCAGGAGGACGAGGGGGAGAGTTGTAGGACCCCAGCAACCTATTCCCTAAGCTCTGTGATTAGACGGAACAAACGAAATAAACTGTGCACCACCATCTCCCCTCTGAGCGTTGGTCAGCCCCAGCAGTGACAGCCAGCCCGCCAATGCATACTTGGAAAACCCATCCCACACCTTGGGCGACACATCTGCTCGCACAGTCAGCTGCAGCACCTTAGGTTGGGGTGCCGCACCACCATCTCCCCTATCTGCGCGTTGGTCAGCCCCAACAGCTGGAGGTAGTCAAAGCATATCTCATACACCATCGCTCCTACCTGCACTCATCGGGGCAATGGTGGTGTGGCACCATACCCTGAGCCCTGAACCCATCCCACACCTTGGGCGACACATCTGCTTGCGCTGTCCGCTGCAGCACCTTGGGGTGCCGCACCACCATCTCCCCTATCCGAGCGTCGGTCAGCCCCAGCAGTGACAGTCAACCAATGCATACTTGAAAAACCCATCCCACACCTTGGGCGACACATCGGCTTGAACTGTCAGCTGCAGCACTCTAGGCTGGCGCACCACCATCTCCCCTATCTGCACGTTGGTCAGCCCCAGCAGCGACAGGTACCGAATCAGCAGCTGCCACGTGGCGTCCAGCGAGCTGCTCAGCAGCTGCGGGCGGCGCACGATGACCTTGGCGAGGCTTGTCCCACTGATGTGGAGCGAGTCGAAGAAGGCGAGCTGTTCAACAGGGGTGGGGGAAGTGGGGGGGAGGGGAGGGGGAGAGAAGATGCACTTTATTGACTCAGCAGCTGCGGCCGACACGCAATGACCTTGACGAGGCCTGCGCAATATGAAGGGAGTCGAAGAAGGCGAGCTGCTCAACAGGGGGTGGTGGGAGTGGGGGGGGGGAGGGGGAGAGAAAGACACACTTTTGCCTCAGCAGCTGCGGGCGGCGCACGATGACCTTCGCGAGGCCTGCCCTTTTGATATGGAGCAAGTCGGAGAAGGCGAGCTGTTGTGGTAACCGAGGGGGGGGGGGGGCGGCGGAGGGGGGAGGGCGGCGGAGGGGAGAGGGTGGCGGAGGGGGGAGGGCGGTGGAGGGGGAGGGCGGCGGAGGGGGGAGGGCGGCGGAGGGTTGAGGGTGGCGGAGGGGGGAGGGCAGCGGAGGGGGGAGGAAAAGTGGGGAGAGAAAGATGCACATTATTGACTCAGCAGCTGTGGACGGCCATTTGAAGAGAAAGCAAAAGTTAGAGGGACAGGGAAAGGGGAGGAGATTTTATCACATGAAGTCAAATCGGTTGGCCATGTGGGGGTGTATTGTATCCTCCAGCCCCTGTGCTCCCAAAGCAGCTTAGACCCAGGCTCAGCCCCAGGTTCAGCTTTGGAGGCCAGTTTGCTGGGAAACAGCTGATCGTCGGACATTATCTCAGTGAGCGCTTGGCCAGAAATCGTCATCTGACACCGCGTTCACTGGGATAATGTCCGACGATCTGCCACTTTGCTGCGAAACAGCTGATCCTTACTGCCGCTTGCAATGCCACCATTGCGAAATGCAATCCCCCTCACTCATCACATGGGGGTGGTTGTACACCACAGTGCCTGCTAGCATGGTGCCTGGAAGCGTTCGGGTTAAGGTTTCGGTTTACCTTCGCCTGCAATGCATCCATGGGCAGGTCCCCCTCGCTCATCACATGCAGGTGGTGGTACACCACAGTGCCTGCCAGCTCTCCCACGCTCTTGGGCAGGGGATGCTGTTGGAAGGACTCTGGTGAGCGGAGAGAGGCGGAAAGGGAAGCTTGCTTACCTCGACTGCCTGCTCTGCTTACCTTCGCCTGCAACACCTCCAAGGGTAAATCCACTTCGCTAATCACACGGGGGTGGTTGGTTCTGCACCACACTACTGGCCAGTCAGGTGAGTTGTCGCTAAGTTGCTTACCTTGGCCTGCAACGCCTCCATGGGTAAATCAGCTTCGCTCATCACAGGGGGATGGTTGTACACCACAGTGCCGGCCAGTTCCCCCACGCTCTTCGGTAAGGGGTGCTGCTGAAAGGACTCGGGTAAGCGGAGAGATGCTGGGACGTCTTGAGAAGCCAGAGTGGGGAGAAAACGGGTGAGCGATTCTGCTGTTGGTGACGATAGTAGGGTTTCCTCTGCTGCTCCTGCTGCAGATTTCGCTGCTGCTGTTGCTGCTGGTGTTGCTGCTGTTGCTGCTGCTGCTGGTCTTGTTGCTACTTCCCATTCACTCCCCTCCCTCTCCAACTCCGCTCCTTCCCTCTCCCTCCCATCCCCCATCCTCCCCTCCCTCTCCCTCTCCTCCCCCTCCTCCCTCTCCTCCCTCTCCCTCGCTCCACCCCCTTCCCTCCTCTCCCTCCTCTCCCGCTCCTCCCACTGCTCCCTCTGCTGCGCTGCCAGGGGCTCGATCACAGCGTGCAGCAGGCAGCCCTTCGCTAGAAGCTTGTCAAAGGGATCCACCAGCACGCCTGGCGCCTTACTCAGCACCACTCCTATCCATTCTCGCTGCACTCCAACCTCGTTCACTAGGTAGTCCACACGAGCCTGCAAAAACATTGGGAGAAACACACAGAAGTGAGAGAATCACAGATTCACAACATGCAGCAGCCGGCCCTTTGCTAGAAGCTTGTCAAAGGGATCCACCAGCACGCCTGGGGCCTTACTCAGCACCACCCCGACCCACTCCCTTCACACCCCGACTTCATTCACTAGGTAATCCACGCGAGCCTGAACACAAGGGTGAGTGAGAGGCAGATAGGAGAATAGGATAAGCAAAGCTTCTCTAAGGGATCCACCAGCACGCCTGGCGCCTTTCACGCACCCACAGCTAAGGTGAAAAAAGGGATGACGAATAGGGGAAGGTGGGGTATAGGCGTGGTGAGGATGGCAGGGTGGCGCACGGCGATGCGCCCAGCCACATCCTTCTAGGCACCCCAGCTCAGACTGCTCTCGAAGTCGCACAACACTACTTGAACAATGGGCAATACCTGCAGGTCGTGTATGCGCGTGGCATGGATGGCATGGATGGCATGGATGGCAGGGTTGCGCACGGCGATGCGCCCAGCCAGCCACATCGTGCTGCACAGGCATGCACCAAAACTTAAGGTTTCAGGTTTACAGCATAACCTGGAGGTCGGGTATCACCTGGAGGTCGGGTATAGGAGTGGGGAGGATGGTGGGGTTGACTTTTGAGTCGACTCAAAAGGTTTCAGGCTTACAGCATTACCTGCTTTTGAGGCGCCTCAAAAGGGCATCACCTGGAGGTCATGTATAGGAGTGGCGAGGATGGTGGGGTTGCGTACGGCAACGCGCCCAACCACATCTTGCTTCACCCCCGCTTGGTGCAGCCACTCAATGTAGTCACGCACCCACACCACTCCACTGCGCTGTTGCCCACTCGATACAGTCACGGCGCTCCGCTCGCCCTCAACGCCCAGCGCCGCAGCACCCTCCCTGCAATCAGCAGCAGCGGTACAAGTACTACCTTCTATAAGAGCAGCAGCACCACCCTTTATAGCAGCTTTGTCACTTCTGGCATTGTCACTTCCAGCATTGTCAGTTCTGACAGCGTAAGGATCAACCCTCCCACCCCCCTCCCCCATGGCAGCGGCGAGGGTGATGAGAGCAGCAGTGCGTGCAAAGGTCTGCTTGGCTGTCTGCTTGAGCCACTTCGCCAGCAGGTGCGGTGCAGAGCGGTGCACTGCGATGGCGGCGCGGTGGGGGAAGGAGTGGAAGGCGTAGTGCCGGTCTGACTTGAGGGCAACAGCCTGGGGGGAGAAGGGGGAGAAGGGGGAGAAGGGGGAGAAGGGGGAGAAGGGGAAGAAGAAGGGGGAGAAGAAGGGGGAGAAGGGGGAGAAGGGGGAGAAGGGGGAGAAGGGGGAGAAGGGGGAGAAGGGGAGAAGGGGGAGAAGGGGGAGAAGGGGGAGAAGGGGGAGAAGGGGGGGGGGAGAAGGGGGAGAAGGGGGAGAAGGGGGGGGGGAGAAGGGGGAGAAGGGGGAGAAGGGGGAGAAGGGGGAGAAGGGGGAGAAGGGGAGAAGGGGAGAAGGGGAGAAGGGGGAGAAGGGGGAGAAGGGGGAGAAGGGGGAGAAGGGGGAGAAGGGGGAGAAGGGGGGAGAAGGGGGAGAAGGGGGAGAAGGGGGAGAAGGGGGAGGGGGAGAAGGGGGAGAAGGGGGAGAAGGGGGAGAAGGGGGAGAAGGGGGAGAAGGGGAGAAGAAGGGGGAGAAGGGGGAGAAGGGGGAGAAGGGGGAGAAGGGGGAGAAGGGGGAGAAGGGGGAGAAGAAGGGGGAGAGAAGGGGGAGAAGGGGAGAAGGGGGAGAAGGGGGAGAAGGGGGAGAAGGGGGAGAAGAAGGGGGGAGAAGGGGGAGAAGGGGGAGAAGGGGGAGAAGGGGGAGAAGGGGGAGAAGGGGGAGAAGGGGGAGAAGGGGGAGAAGGGGGAGAAGGGGGAGAAGAAGGGGAGAAGAAGGGGGAGAAGGGGGAGGAAGGGGGAGAAGAAGGGGAGAAGGGGGAGAAGGGGGAGAAGGGGGAGAAGGGGGAGAAGGGGGAGAAGGGGGAGAAGGGGGAGAAGAAGGGGGAGAAGAAGGGGGAGAAGAAGGGGGAGAAGGGGGAGAAGGGGGAGAAGGGGGAGAAGGGGGAGAAGGGGGAGAAGGGGGAGAAGGGGGAGAAGGGGGGAGAAGGGGGAGAAGGGGGAGAAGGGGGAGAAGGGGGAGAAGGGGGAGAAGGGGGAGAAGGGGGAGAAGGGGGAGAAGGGGAGAAGGGGGAGAAGGGGGAGAAGGGGGAGAAGGGGGAGAAGGGGAGAAGGGGGAGAAGGGGGAGAAGGGGGAGAAGGGGGAGAAGGGGGAGAAGGGGAGAAGGGGGAGGATGGGGGGAAGGGGGAGGATGAGGGGAAACGCGGGTAAGAGGGGGATTGGGGTAAACGGTGGAAGGCTTAGTGTCGATACCACTTGAGGGTAACGGCCTGACCGGGGGGAAGGGGAAGGGGAGGGGAGCGTGGGGGATTTGAGGGAGTTGAGTTGGGCGGCAGGGTGGGGGAAGGAATGGACGGGGAAGTGCCAATGGGCGGCAACAGCCTGGGGGACATTGGGAGGAGGGTGGGGGGGACACTGGGAGGAGGGGAGGGGGGGGAGAGGGGGGAGAGGGGAGAAACGGGGAAATGGAATCTCACAAGCCACAAGCCACTCAACCCTGTTTCAACCCATGCCCCTCTCACACCAGCTCTTCCACCTGAACGCCACCTGAGATCCCACCTGGGAATCCACCTGGAAAAACAGCGTGAAACCCAACCGAAAAACAGCCTGAAAAAACTCCTGGAAACCCACCTGAAGTACGAGATGGTCGATGAAGGCAGGTAGGTGCCGGATCAGCTCCCTGGAATACACCTTCCCCAGTTTCACCTCGATGAATGCTGACATCAGCGCTGCCTTCACCACCTTGCGCCTCTCCTGCAGCGCTCGGGCCACAGGGCTGTCTCGGGAAACTTCCAGGCTGCTGCTGCTTGGAGGCGGCAAGTCAGGGATGCCGTTGTCAGAGAACTTCAGCATTGGACGCTTAGAAGACTCCAGTGTGCGACTTGGGCTGCCGCTACGATCTGAACTCCTGCTGCTGCTGCTGCTCCTGGTGCTACCATAGCTGACAGCTTTCGTCCCGTTGGACACACTCTTAACACCACCATCAGCAGCAGCACTGCGATCAGAAAACACAGCAGGAGCACCATGCGCTCCCCAAGAGTCAACTACTTGCGTAGCTGCTTCTCCCCTCAGCAACCTTCTCTCATCAAATGCTCTCTCGCTCAATGGCCTCAACTCTTCCGTAGCCTTTATAGGCCTCCGTTCGTGCTTGTCAACTGCGCCCTCTTCCTTGCTGCCTTCTCCCTTTCCGTCTCCTCCCCTTCCACTTTCTCCCCAGGTACCTACCCCCTCTCTTCCTCTGTCCTCTGCCCCGCCTTCCTCCCACGGCCACTGCTCCTGGCTGCTTGAAGGCCCTGCCAGCCCACCGTGGCTCAATGCCAACCCACCACCATGCAGGCCCAGACCCTGCACTTTCTGACTGATTGGAGTAGACTTTTTGGGATGGGCTGCAGTGGTTTGTGCAATAGCCCAGGCTTTCCCTTGCTGAGCGTCTGGGTGACCAGCAGTCCCCCCTGTCCGCATGCTGTCCCTTGCTGCAGAAGTACTTAAAGCCACATCTGCTGCTGCTTCTTCTTCTGCTGCTGCGGTTGCTGCTGTTAGCTCGCCTGTTGTTGCCAGCACTTGCACCGCTGTGGACGCTGATTGGTCACCAGACGGCAATTCTTCACGTGATGTTTCACCTGACGATTCACCTGACGATTCACCTGACGATTCAAATAATGATTCACTGACTCGCGGATCCTGCCAGGGATACTGCTCATTTAAACGACCCCTTCCTGCCTCCCTCTCTCCGCTTCCTCCTCCTCCCTCCTCAGGATCTTCGCCCTCTCCCCCCAACCCTGCTCTTCTCCCACCTTCCTCACCCCCCCCTTTCTTGCCCGTATCCTCCCCATCTCCGTCCTCCATCCACCACGCCCTCTTCCCTTTCTTCGCCCACGATGGCGCCACCCAGGTCTCCACTCTCCCGCTCCTTCCCCCCAGCCCCCCGCTTGATTCTCTTCCCCGTTCTGCCCCCCTCCCCGGCGCATCCTCCGTTCTGCTCCCTTTCCTTTCCCACGATGGTGCCACCCACGTGTCCACTCTACTGCTCCCCCCCCTCTGCCCCCCTCCCTTATCTCTTCCCTCAGCTGCATCTGATCTAGATTCGCCATTTCCTCTGCTCTCCCACGAAGAAGCCACCCACGCATTCACACCGGAAGGCTTTCGACCGATGCCACTGCTGCCTTTCGGCCGACTTTCGGCCCCTCGTCCCCCGCCCAACTGTCTCCTCTCTACCGCTTCCCTTCCCTCTCCTGCCTCTCTGCACCACACCGCACTCCCTGGCAAATCGTCTCTGTCCCTTCCTCCCCTCTCCCACAGTGTCCCTCTTCGCCCCTCCCCTACCGCATTCCGCCCCTCCGTACCGGTACGTTCCCCTTCCCCTCTTTCCCTTCCGAACGGCGGGCTCTTCCTCTCACCTCCGCCACCCCGAACGCTATTTCTCGACCAATCCCGACCGTCAATCGCGCGCGATGTTACCCTCCTCTGATTGGCTGGAAAAGCCGTCAGAGTGTCATTCTGACGAAGTATTCTACAAGGGTAGTTTCTGGCCGGCAGTGGCACTCGGAACGTGGTTGTGAGGAGCGCCGTACGGCTCTTGGTAGGATAGTCTGTTCTCTGGACGGCCGGAGACGCGGGCCATACCCGTTGAACAGACATCGCAAGGAAAGGACGGAACGGAGTGATGAAGGATGGGGGAGCATTGAATTCAGATCATCCAGCCATTGCTCCAGCAGGCACTGAAGTCCCCAGCTAGCTATGCCTATACCCGTTAGTGCCTGATGCGAACAGATTAGAAGCGAACATGTTACCGGTATGATGATATATAATTATGGCATTAGACAAAGACAAGAACATATTTTCTTTTTAGAAAGCAAAGCACGTCCCCCTCGTTCAGTCACAGTATTTAGCGTGTCGACACATTGTCATAATTTGCACTTACAAGCAACACGTGCATCTCGAGACATGGACAAAAGTCAGAGATAGGAGGTGCACCCATGCACCCCAACGCAACCCCACCCCCCCAACGCAACCCCACCCCCCCAACCAACCCCCCCAACCCCCCCGTCACCACCCCACGCACAACCATGCACCCCTCCCACACCAAAGGCCACACCAACCCCAGCAGAACATTTTTTCCTTGCCCTTCCACAAGTATGTTACCCATCTCGCCTCCGTAACCGCCTAAACCAAGGTAATCCTTCTGGGTTACCGAGATCGCCTGTACATTCTGGTGCTCCAGCTTGGGGCACTCGCTGCGCTGATGCGATGGGCCAGGCCAAACCCCCACAGAAGGCACACCCACCCATGCTGGCCTGAAGCCATACCATCCCAGTAAGCAGGCCTCGTTTCTGCGCAGTTTGTGTTTTGTTTTTGAGAATTATCAAAACCATTACATTTCGCCTCCATAGCCTCCAGACCCAAGGTAATCCTTCTGAGTTCCCGAAATCGCCTGTGCCTTCTGGTGCTCCAGCTTGGGGCACTCGCTGATGCGGTGGCCCAAACCGCCACAGAAGGCGCATCCGCGCACGCCTGACGCCGCTGCGAGCGCCTCCGCATCCTCCATGGGGTCGTCCAGGGACGCGAGGACGGGTGGGATGCGCTGCTTGGCCTCTCGTAGCAGATGCTTCAGGTCCAGCAGGATGGTCTCGCTCTGGGGAGAGTGGAAGGGTGAAGGGGGAAAGAGGAAGGGGGGGGACGGGGAAAGGAGAGAGCAAGGAGGGAAAAGCAGGGGTTGAGATCTGCCCATGGCGGTGCATGTGTGCTGCAGAAGTCCCCCCTCCTGACGCCGCTGCGAGCGCCTCCGCATCCTCCATGGGGTCGTCCAGAGACGCGAGGACGGGGGGAATGCACTGCTTGGCCTCTCGTAGCAGATGCTTCAGGTCCAGCAGGATGGTCTCGCTCTGCACAAGCAGGGTGAACAGGAAAGGGGGGTGGAAAGAGGATGAGTGGGAGAAGAGGGGGGATGCGCTGCTTGGCCTCCCTTAGCAGGTGCTTCAGGTCCAGCAGGATGGTCTCGCTCTGTACCAGCAGGGTGAATGGGGGGGAGGGGGGGAGAAGGGGGGAGAGGGGAAGAAGAGAGCACGGAGGGTGAGAGGACAGGGGGGATGCGCTGCTTGCTTGGATTCTCCTAACAGATGCTTCAGGTCCAGCAGGATGGTCTCGCTCTGTACCAGCAGGGTGAATGGGGGAGAGAGAGGGAGAGGACGAGAGGAGGAGCAGGGGAGAGAAAGGAGAGATTGAGCGCAAAGGGTGAAGGGACAGGTGGGATGCGCTGCTTGGCCTCTCGTAGCAGATGCGACAGGTCCAGCAGGATGGTCTCGCTCTGCACCAGCAGGGTGAACGGGGTTGAGAGAGGGTAAGATGCGAGCACGTAGGGATGCCTTGAGCTGAGCAGGAGCTTCAGATCCAGCAGGGCTGTTTCCCGCTGGTAGGAGAGGGAGAGAGTGGAAGGGATGGGGAGGGGAATGGGAACCAGGTGGACGAAGTGAAAAAAGAAAAAAGAGTGGGAAATGGGAACTGGCCATTGGTCTCCTCTGGGGGCTTGCAGGTGGATCGGCGTGGGAAAGGGGGGCTGGTTTCCTCCTGGGATCTCCTGAAAGCCCAAAAAAAAAAAAAAAAAAAAAAAAAAAAAAAAGGCGGAACTGGCCATTTCAGCAGCCCATCACCCGAACCTCACAGCACCCACCAGGACCCCTCAGAACCGCACCTACCATGAGCCCCTCAGCACTGCACTAACTGTTCTTGAGGCGCTTCAAAAATAGACTTCAGAACCCCTCAGCACAGCACTGACCTGGTTCTTGTTGATGAAAGTGGTGGTGATCCCGGTCTTCCCACACCGCCTCGTGCGCCCGATGCGGTGCACATAGTTCTCGACCTCGGCCGGCATGTCGTAATCCATCACGTGCTGAATGCCCGTCACTCTCCCTTCCCCCCTCCCTATCTCCCCACACCTCCCCTCAGATCACATGCTAAATGTCCAATTCCCTCTTTCCTGCTCTCCCCACCCGCAACCCGTTCCCCCGTCTCCTGGAATCAATTGCCCAATGCTCAATCCCTCTCTCTCACCTGGTTCTTGTTGATGAAAGTCGTCGCAATCCCAGTCTTCCCGCACCGCCCCGTGCGCCCGATGCGGTGCACATAGTTCTCAATCTCAGCCGGCATGTCGTAGTTCACCACATGCTGGATGTCCGGGAAATCCAGCCCCTTGGAAGCCACATCCGTAGCCACAAGCACGTCTTTCCTCCCTGCTTTAAACGCCGCAATCGCCGCCTCTCTCTCCTCCTGATCCTTCCCTCCATGCACCGCCACCGCTTCCACTCCTTTCAACAGCAAATACTCGTGAATATCGTCCACGTCAGCTTTGTTCTCGCAGAAAATCAGCACCGGGGGCGGCGTTTTTTGGAGGCATTCGAGCAGGTAGACGATCTTGGCTTCCTGTTTCACATACTCCACCTCCTGGATCACGTCCAGGTTCGCTGCACCTGCGCGCCCCACGTTCACCATGACCGGCTTCACCAGCGCGCTCTTCGCAAACGCCTGGATTTTCCGCGGCATAGTGGCGGAAAATAGCAGGGTTTGGCGCTGGGCTTTAAAGTGGTCAAAAACCTCTCTAATATCGTCCTCGAACCCGAGATCTATGAGCCTGTCGGCTTCGTCTAGGCAGAGGTATTTGCAGATGTCAAGGTTCATGCGCTTTTTGTTAAGCAAGTCTTTTAGCCGGCCGGGCGTGGCAACCACCATGTGCACCCCCCGCTTGACCACCTCCAGCTGCTGCCGCATGTCAACGCCGCCTATGCACAGCAAGCTGCGAAGCTCAGGGTACCTGGAAGGGGGTAATGAGATGCAAGGGTAAGGAGAGTGGGAAAGGCTTGACTTCCCTTCCAGCTGCTGCCACACGCCAAATCCGCCTATGCACAGCAAGCTGCGAAGCTTCTGCCGGGCGGGCTCTCTCCTTTCAGTCACGCCTACAGTTCCCCCCCTGCCCAACCCACCCATGCCCCACTCAACCACGCCTCACTCACCACTCCCTGCAGTTGTTCCTGAGAGCGTCCGCAAACTCATTCGCCACGTCGTCAGTCTGCGGAGCGAGCTCCTTCACTTCAATGTTTCCTTCTCACACCCACAGGCCTCCCCCCTCCCCCCTCGCCACTCACCGCTCCCTGCGGTCGTTCCTGAGAGCGTCCGCAAACTCATTCACCACATCATATGTCTGTCGGGCGAGCTCTCTAGAGGGGCACACGATGAGCCCTGTGGGGCCCTCACCCGCCACCAGCGGCATGCGCACCTCCTCTTGTAACGCCTGGTGGTGGGGGAAGGGAGTAGAAAAGAGGGAGATTACTATTAGGCCTTGATGCATGAGCGGCTGCCAAGCGAGCTCCCTGGATGGGCACACAATGAGTCCTGTGGGGCCTTCCCCCGCTACCAGCGCACCTCCTCCTGTAAGGCCTGGTGATGGGGGGGCGGGAGCAGCAAGAAGGAAGGGAAATTACTACCAGGCCTTGATGCATGAGCGGCTGCCAGGCGAGCTCCCAAGAGAGGCACACGATGAGTCCTGTGGGGTGGGGCCTTCATCCACCCGCTACCAGGGGCATGTGCACCTCCTCTTGTAAGGCCTGGTGGTGCGGGGAGGGAGCAGCAAGAAGGGAGGAAATCAGGCCGTGATGCATGAGCAGCTGCCAGGTGAGCTCTCTAGAGGGGCTCACAATGAGCGCTGTGGGGCCTTCACCCGCTACCAGGAGCATGCGCACCTCCTCTTGTATGGCCTAGCAAAGGGGAGAAGGGAGGAAGACGCTGAGATGAAACGGCGCCTCAAAGCATCAAGATCGGCTGGCCGAGCTCCCTGCACTCAGATTGGATCCCTAGACACACAGTGAGCTCCATGGGGTCATGTCCAGTCCTGATACCATGGGCAGGAAAAGGGAGAAGGGAGGAAGACGCTGAGGTAAGAAAGCGCCTCAAAGCGTCAAGATCTGCTGGCCGAGCTCCCTGGACTCAAATGGGCTCCCTAGACACGCAATGAGCTCCATGGATCATGTCCTCATACCATTGGCAGCAAAGGGGAGAAGGGGGGAAGACGCCGAGATAAAATGGCACCTCAAAGCGTCAAGATCTGCTGGCCGAGCTCCCTGGACGAGCACACAGGTCTTGACGAGCGTCAAGATCTGCTGGGGCCATCTCCTGATACCATGGGCAGCGAAAGGGCTCAAATTGAGCCCCAGACAAAGAAAAAGGCTCGCATTGAGGCCGATGGGCAGAAAAACGGTCACATCGAGCACCATGGGCAGCAAAAAGACTCGCATTGAGCACCATGGGCAGCGCAACAAGACTCACATTGAGCACCATGGGCAGCGCAAAGACGAGGGTCTTTCCCGACCCGGTGAAGGCAATGCCGATGATGTCCCTCCCCTCCAGCACCGCTGGCATGCCCTGCACCTGCAGTGCAGGCAGGGGATTAGAGGGGTACACAAGGGTACAGAGTGATTATAACTGGCATCGATGAGGTACTACTATACTAGCAACATGACTTTCCTCCCCTCCAGCACAGCTAGCGCCCTGCACTGAACCTGCAGGTAGCGGGTGGCTTTGAACGGTACAGAGCGGTGAGGATCAGTCCAGCGGGATATGGTGATGGAGTACCTAGTAACATGATCTTTCTCCCTCCCAGCACCATGGGCAGCGCACTTAAAGCACTTAAAGATCT